CTATCCTGATTCGAACCCGGACCTATTGAATGAGAGGAGAACACTTTAACTTCTAAGCCACGAGAGCTTCCTTTGACAGGATAGACAACACAAGCGTTACTTGAATTAACCAAATGAAACACGCCGAAACGTTTTTTTCTGTCGTTCTTCTTGTAGAGAAATAAGCTATGGTATTTAACCAACACCCCCCCCCCTACCCCCCTTATCTAATTTCCTTTGCACAGTGCAGGCAATTTCGAAAGTTTTAATTAAATCAGTTTGATATATTTGAGGAAGGCCAGAGTGTTCCTTTATGGAAGGTAGAATGCTATCATTTTGCCACAGTTTGATACAGTTTTTCCAAATTCAAACAAGTTTGATTTCAACTAGCCCCGAACAGGTCCTGTTTTAATGAAAACATCCAATCAGAAGGCAAAAACAATATTACAGGGTCAGATCTTTTCGTTGCGCTCTAAATTCGAGAGGCCCTAATGGACCCACACGTCAACTTTGATGAACTAAAATGTGTACGGGTATGGCCATGACCAAACTCAACCAGATCTGAACTTATCAGGCATTTGATTAGAGCACATCTATTAAAACTTTAAGGTGCCATGTCCTAAATTCAGCGTTATATTCAATAAAAAACAAACCAAGTCGGAACAATCAGAAAGACGAATTGCAATAAATAACATTGTCCAATTCTTGCTGGAAAATATTATCAGCGGTATTTTAGTGCCTGAAAGGTTGAATTCATCAGTTATAGTCTGCTCCACGTTTAGACTTTTACTATTTACTTGTGCAAGCTGCTTTTCACCATTCGACTAAATAATTAATTAGCATTAAAGAAATTGCAGATTTAAGTTGTTTTGGTCTTTATTGTATTAAATTTATAAAATAATTGATCTTTTTTACGTCCGTTCTTCTCATCCATCTATCTCAATCTATATTCTTTTATCTGTCGTTTTTAACCGTCTCTCTGAATATCAAGAGGAAAGAAAACTTTATTGGGGAATAATTCAATCTGGCGACTCGCGAGACAGGCGAGAATACTTCTCAACATACTAACGATGGCACATCACCTTTGTTGCAAATATTTACTTATACAAAATAACCCTCCCCCCCCCCCCCCCCCCCAAATTAATGCTTATTACTTTAACGTGCACAACTACACTTTGTCTAAACGGCTCTGTGTTTTGTTTTGCTTTTTAGAGTATCAGAAGTTTTAGATATAATTCGGTTTCCCAACCTGTAGGTTTATAAAATTAAAGCTAGCCCCATTAGAAAATGATAGTGATAATACTAATGGAACTACCAAACTCTAAATTGTTAAGGGGCTCTCTTGGTCAAGAGAGTAAGGCGTTTGTCTCTTGTTCAATAGGTCCGGGGATCGAAACCTGAAAGCGACGGACAATTTTCTTCCCTGAAAGTTTCTCTTTCACCCCCTTTCCTGCTTTCTCTTTTTGTTCTGTCGTCTGCTTTTGTCTCCCTTGGTTGTTCTAAAATCGATAAAAGTAGGGTTCGGCCTCCACCCAGACAAAGTTCGAAATTCCTACCAAACTGAAAATGTTTAATGTGTGCCCCGAGCATAATAATATTATTATAACCGTATGCAGTTGCGAGCGTCGTAAAACACTTACTATAACAAAAACTATACTGCTAACTTTCAATAAAACAAAATGAAATGTTATCGCTGTTTAATCTTTTGAAATCTTTTCATGGATTAAAAAAAAGTTTAATGAAGGTTATGCAAACTAAGGTTCAGGCACGTGTTCTATGATATTAGCCTAGAGGGGCTCAAAAGAAATAACATTGTATTTACAGCATACATCTAAAACATTAAAAAGTTGCGCTTCAATAACACGCTTTATAGTATGGCTAAGAAACATGTCCAAAAAAACGAGTGAGCACATTTCTGGTCACACGTGGAAACGTCTGGACAGTTGTGTGATGAAATCTACAAGTGTACAATGTAATGTGGAGGCAGGGTGGTGTCCGTGTGTCAGACTAAGCAATTTATAGGCTAGGCTACTGTCAATCACTTAAAATGTGATCCTTTGTATGTGCCGAAATGGGCGGTTTTTCATCCAAGGCCCAAATGAGAATTGTTTTTATTACTAGATCAATATCTTTAAAAAAATAGTTGTTTTTTTTTTGGGGGGGGGGGGCTAAACCCTCAAAGTCAAAATTCGGCTCAAAGTTGTGGAATTTGAGTTGTAGGCCTTTTTAGCTTTCTTAGCCTCTCCTACAACTATTTCATGAAATAGGAACCCCTCATAACCTCATTTCTTCCCATACCGGGCATGTTTGTCACCGCCATTTCCTTATAAAGTCAGTATTTTATTTTTTCTCAAAACGCGACTTTTCTCTATACTTTTTTGAATACCTCCACCATTTTTCATCCAATCTTCAAGAAATTTTCAAAGAGTAAAGTGAAGATGTAATATAAAAAATTGGTTTGTTGAATTTCTGATATATGGAATAGATTTTGGTTAGTGGTGTCGGGAGTGTGGATTTTCACGGATTTGTTGCAAACTTGAATGCTACCTCAGGAAAAAATTCATGAAAAATGTTCTAATTCGTTTAGGAAAAAAACAACAGAAAATTTTTTGATCTATTGTTTGTAAACACGCATGCAAAAAACATTCAATTTCCAAGAGCAATAAGTGCGGTATTCATTACGTAAGACATGTCAACAACATCCAATATGGCCGCCGTATCCAAGGAAACGAAACTTTTTTCTCAAATTTGATTGCGGATTTTAAGACTATTTAACTATGCTTGTTATATGTGTGAAATGTGGTAAAATTTAGTCCAGTAATAAGCGAGATAGCCTTCAGGTGTAGCCCCCCCCCCCCCCTAATGGCTAGCAGAAGTGCCCCAAAAAGTTTCACGGACATTAGTAAATTCTCAAACACCGAGTTCATCTTCAATTTGAAAACTTAATTTAAAAATCATTTACAATAAAAAATCATTTTCTAACCCAATAGTCAGGTGACTAGTGTAATTAATAGAGCAAAACGGGTAATTTTATATTTGAAAACTTTCAAGTAGCTGTTAAGTAGCATAATAATATTCTTTCATAAATATAAACCAATCCCCCCTCCCCCCCCCCAAAAAAAAAAAAAAAAGAAAAAGCACATGCCCAAGATAATTAAGTTGCAGTGACTGATCTGTGTCTTACCTCATTCGCAAATAACCAGAAGGGTTCTCTGCTGTGATGAGCGGGAATTGTCGCAAAAGACAGCCACCCAACGCCCCCGGACAAGACAAAAAACCAATAGATAGGGACCCATCGGTTGAGCCAATCAGCATGGAACATGATGCCTTGGGTTTTCTGGTCCTCTCGATGCCGTGCCCATTTTTCTCGGAAGCTCAGCTTTAGGAATTCCTCGTCTACGGTGAGATTCATGTTGTTGACTTCAGCTCTCTGAGAGGGAACACAAAAGGGACGCCAGTGCTGCGGAAAACGAAACAGTGTATATGCCGGTATTATAATTTATAAAAGAAACCCATAAAGGTGAAATTGTTCGAGCTGTATGCTTTGTTGACAAATTAATGATAAAGTAAAGCTTATAACAACGCCAAAAGTCGAGTTTAAGCGACAGTTATTCTTTTTTAAAACATCTTTGCTGTATCCCCTCCTTTTTTCATTTATATTATCTATCTATCTATCTATCTATCTATCTATCTATCTATCTATCTATCTATCTATCTATCTTATACACGAATACTTTAGAATAGAATAATTATGTACACATTATACTACAAACATTGTATTATTGCAAGGTTGGTTCCTGATTTGAATAGACAGAAAAAGGAATTCGGATCATCTAGACATATCTTTCTTTGGAAAATATACCTACTACCTTCACATGAATACACTTGCAAACACACACACACACACACACACACACACACACACACACACACACACACACACACATACACAACTTCAAAGTACAATAACTCATTTACTATTCAACATAGTCAAGTGGAAATTGGCACACATGATGTTCATTCATTTTTTGCCAATATGACATAGAAAGATTGACAGTGTCTTTCCTTTTTCCAGGGAAATGATTCTATTCTCACTGACCCTTGCAAAACCCAAATGTATTGCGCGTGGTCTCTAACAGATTGATTGACTGCAATCATGTCTGAGGAATCCCCTGACATTCCTCGTGAAGTGTAGTTTTCAGTTCCTGACAAATTTCCGCGGGATGCAGCCTGTTTCTAACTCCCCAGTCTAGGTCTCTCTGCAGATTTTCTATTAGAGTTAATAACAGGTGATCTTGCAGGCCACTCCAGAACATTGATTTGATGAGTTTGGAAAGAGTTTTGACTGTTCATGGTCACATAGGGTCGCGTGTTGTCTGTATGGCACATTCCATCATCCGTGCCATGTAGGGCAGAGGGTCGTGGCGAAGAATTGTGACAGAATAGTCGTGTTTTGAGGTTGCTTTGACCAATAAATGCAGGGGCGAAGGCTGACTTGTTTAACAGGATAATCAAAGAGAAACGGGACCAGATATGGCCTGTAGATATGACACAAGAATCTTACTCGAGGCGGCGACTCTGAGTTGTGAATGAAAACAAATCCGGAATTCATATTGTATGTTCAACCGCCAAAATAATCGGGAAAATATCTTATTAAATATCAGTTCCAACTAAAATTAAATTTAACTTTAGATGTGAATACATAAACACAAAGCAAAGAAGCAGAGACGTCAGTACTATATCGATATGTTATAGATCTACCAGTGAGTCTAACTCTTTGGTAGAACATGACAATTATCATTTTTTAAATTTTATATTTGGCTGTTTTTGTTAGCCTTCCGCGGCCAGGAGCTGGTGTCATAATCGAGGTCACGATCTGATTATAGGACGGTAAAAAGTCGAGGAAAAAAAGCAAGTACTTGCAACAGTGAAGAGATTGTTAGGAGTTAGTTCCCCTCACATTTGTGAGGTAGACTCGACCAGTGTTAGTTAGCTTACATAATCAGGGCTTGAGATTGATTTTAACTGTGACCCCAAAGGGGTGAACAGGGTATATGTGGCAATGAAACAGCTTAGACTGCTATGCACATGTTCCCTTCAACTATATTGGTGGACTCTTCCAGCCTCACTTTAAGCTTACTTAATCAAAGCTTGCGACTACTTATGGAGTGGCCCGAGAGGGGTGAGGAGGCTATTTCTGTGGCCGTGAAACCGTTTTGAATGTTAGGCATACTGTTCATTGTTGATTACGAACGTCTTTTGACATTTAATTTAAGAGGTTTACGTTTATGGATGAATTTGATAGCGACAATGTTTCAAAATTAGGAAGGGAAGCAGTGATTATTTGATTATATAGACGCTTCGCCCATGAATAAATGTGGACGATGAAGAACAGAGATTCGAGCCTACACTATCACACCTTGAGCGGGGCTGGCGAATCGACGTTGTCCTATTGTTTGTCTACCTCCGACTTTTCAAATGTTCTAAATTCTTTGAATAAATCGAGAAACAGTACAAGCACTGCAAAAAAGCGGTTTTGCTTCTTGGGCAGATTTTCCGCCTTGAACAAGGGGAGGCAAAATTGAGGTCAGCTTTGCTAAGTTGTGGCGTCTTGTAGTTAAGAAAAAATAAAAACTGGTAGCATAGTATATGGCAGGACTTGTGTTGGGAAAAAGCTAGATCTACCCAAGTAATATAGCGTCTAATTGATACATTTGTACCAACGCACAGGTTACAGAACTGTTTTGAAAAGTGATCGAGGAAATAACAAAAATTGCGCGTTGTCGTGTGAATTAGCAACTACTCACTTGTGTCTCCAAACCTCGTGGCGATCAGAGAATAGTTGGTTTTCTTATAGCCTTTTCAAAACGATGCTTTATTTATGGAGTTCAGTAATATACTGTTATATATTATAATTTACGTAAAGGGTGTCCCGAAAATGTATACACCCTTTGAAAACTGACAACTAAATCGTGATGTCTGCGTTTTTACGTCGTTAGCAGCGTCTGGACCAGAACGGACGTCAGTTTGAAAATAGGAGGTGACAAAACTATTTTATGTCATTTGAAAATTATTTTACGTATGGAAAATTATACAGTTTATAACAACACCTAGATCTACTTTAGAATTATTTTAAAAGTTGTTATATATTTCTGGGACCCCCTGTATACAGTGGCGTCCAAAAGAAACTTGCAAATGTAATAACCCAATCATAGTAATTAAGCCTTGCTTTAACTACTCATGCAGCATACCAGTTTAAAGCTAAATAAATTCTACATTGACACATTAATAGCTTTTCTATGTTATGAGGTGCTTTAAATACGGTCACTCTAAATTTAACCTGAAATAGTCAGAATTGGAAAAACTGTGCAAAATCAAAGAAACTTAAAATTGTCTTCGCAAGAGAATTGAGTAGCGACATTGTTAATAGAAAGGACATACAATGCGTATCCAATGAATGGAGAATTCTCCTTTACAATAAATATTTTTTTTTTACAATAGTTTCCACCAAACGGAAAACAGAACACTCACAAATACCACGTGAAACTTGGACTTATGTTGCAGGTAGATAGTTACAAATAAAGGTAATGAGCTGGAAGCAAAGTTGCTTATCTTTGGCTGCTATTTCATGGTACATTACATACTATATACGCCTGAAGGATTCATTTCGGGGCTAATTACTCCACCGTTGATATGATATGGTTTCCCAAAAATTGTCTAGTGACATTGGCCCTTTGAGAAAGTGCATGTAGATGTGTGCTTGAACAACACCATGACAAAAATAAAGGTAATACATTGCGTTGTAGCGCGCGATGTAGTCCACTAAACTAAGTCTGGTGATTCACACAAGGGCTGCTTTGTTCATTCCATGCCTGACTAAAACCATGACAGTTTCGTGGCCTCTGTTCCTCAGTAACAGATGATTAAGTCCTAAATCTATTTAACACAGTCCATTTCCCCCAAAAAGGTTTCGTGAATAGCTCCTAAACAAAAACAAAATTAATGCTAATGAGCACATGCCCAGATTTTGCGTGGTGTTTGTGACTACTTTGTTTTCTAATCTGTTTGAAAATCTCCTCAGAAGATGCTGTTAATTGCAGAGTCAATAATATTCTGTTTTCATCTGATATTCAATTCAAGTACATTCCACCAATGTCAATGCACCTCAATTAACGCGTGAAACCACTTGTATGTTTCTTTGATTTCAAACAAATGTTGCCAAGCCTGGTTCATAAGGTCAGTTTTGAGTGACCATATTTCGGGTGTCCTTTAACAGTTGATGCAGAATTTATTTAGTTTAAATTCTGGTAGTGCAAGGCTTTAACACGGTGACTGAGTGATTACATGTTCAAGTTTCCTTTGGACGCCACTGTATAATGTGTATGTATGTATGTATGTATTTTATATATGTATAACTATAAAATAAATAATATATATACTTTCTATCAGATGTATCAAAGAAGATGTATCATACATGTTTATTTATGTATGGAATGAAAACATGCAAAGCGAAATAGTATT